AGACAGAGGTGCGAAGCAGACTGACTCTTCTTTTTCCAAAAGTGGAATGCTTCTTTTATGCCATTATCTTCTTGCCAAACCAACTAGTTCGATCCAACCCAGCAGACTTAGAGCAAGAAATGCGTACTTTCAGAATAAGCCTATCATCTTTCAATAGTTCCAACCTATTCTTTCTACCTCCATTCAGAGTTCTAAGGATTGACCAATTGAATAGCACTATTTCGAATGAAAACTACCCTTTAGGGGGAAGGTGAAGTGTAAGAGAAGCACTAAACCTTTGTTGACTACTATCTGCACTTTTTTTGCTTCGAGTTTACCCTTGTCCTGAAAGGTGCCTCTTCCTGAATTTACAGCCAGTTCGATCTGGTAAGCCAAAGGGGCCGTATTCTATCATGAGATAGCGGTGTGCACTTTCTGTTATCACCCTCTTTCATTGCCATTTTTGAAGCAAATAGAAAAAATCTTCTATAACCATGAGAGGGCAGAATAGAAAAGTTGATAGCATATTAAGATTCTTCCTATTCTTTAGAAGATAAGGAGGCAATCCTTTCCCCAGAACTTAACCTAGACTGGTTTGAAATGGGCCCCCGCTTACTGGATGACATAAGTAAGGTTTAGAACAGCATGGCATCACTTCTAGTAGGAAAGTCAAATTTCTCTCGAGTTCTAAAAAGAAGAGAGTTCAATAGTGCAAGTTGGCTAATTCCCCGTCTTTTTAGTTTAAAGCTGCCTTTCACTCATAGAAGTCTATTTTGAAACATCTATTTTGAGAATTCCCGGAAAAAGGTAGCAATCCTGGGCAGAGAAAAGCGATAGGAAGGAACCCATTCCAGCTCAACTGAAAGGAGATATCCACTTTCCTCGTGAATTGCCTTCTTTGAGGCATGATCGGGGGGCGTAGGGATTTTTTCTTCTTTTATTTGTGTTGATCTGAGTACCGCCCTAGCGAACTATTGGGTTGAGGGACCCAGCCCAGACAACTTTGGAGTAGAGTCACTTCCAATAGCTTCAGTAAAGCTCTAAAAATACGAGAAATCTCAATAGGTGGAAATTAAAGTGGTTGGTTCTTGAACCGATTCCATTTCTGGTTCCCCAAGACAACAATGAATGGACTCTTTCTGGGAGGTTGAGGGAAGGATAAAGCATCTAAGGCAGGATATCATTGTTGTAAGCCTCCTTCACTGCATTAGATTAGGGCCCTATTGATCGTGTCTTCGGAGGGTTGGAGAAGCGTTAAAGACTCCTTTAGGAAAGAACTCCTTGCCATCTTTACGCCTTACATACGGCAACAATCGCATAAATCAAAGTAGAAGTCACAAGATGACCTAAAGTCCAGAAAAAACCACTCTCTCCCGGGAGAGCTTTCGAGAACACATGCGCCGCATATTGCATCAACATTTTCTACAGATAGTTTACCAACAAAAGAGATTCCACCAAGAACTTCTATAGCTAAAAGAGTTAATTCAAGTCTACTTATTGCATCATTCACGTCTATTTTGAAGTCTTATTTAACTCGTTCGATGTGAAGCCCTTCCACACCTGTATGAAGCATCTCCTCTTGAGATTGGTTCTTCCAAAGTTTCCTAATTCGCTATAGAGATTGAGCAAGTGCATCAGTCTAGGACGCGCCGTTCGGGTGATATCTACCAGGATAACAACCCGTAGCCTAGTTGAGGTCAAACCCTCTTTGACAAGATTACAGACTCGAACACTCACGACTCGCCTTTCTGCTCTCTCTATTGATATCTCATAGTGTCGACTCTTTGCAAGCAACCTCGACATAAAAGAAAATGGCGGACGTGCTCCGACAACCTCGCCCGAGCCTCCCTCCCTTCATTCAATGCTTGACAGCTTTCTTTATGCGGCGTGACACGTCTATCTTTGACACTCATCAATCAGCTAAAAGACAACGGTTGCGAAGCAAGGGGTGAGGTAGCGCTTTCCGTGGGAAGAGAGCTCTCACCTTGATGGGAGGATTGGCAGGACAAAGATCCGAAACGGGTGCAGCTATCGAGTGCGTTTCGCCACTCCTTGTCACGGCTCAAAGGGGTTTTGAAGGTTGCTTGCAATGGTTTAGAACATGAAGCCGCTGTGCGTGGGTCACTCTATCTTACGAGACCTTAACTGGTCTTCCTGCGCCTATGCCACTCGGAGTGTTGAGTGTTGTTATGTTAGCTGGGGTAACTGATTAAACTGGGCATAATGCATTCGCACTGGGAACAGGAACTTAGATTTAGGACTCAGAGTCTATGTCCCGCCGCCCTCGCCCCTAACTCTAAAGCCGCTAACTTCGGTACCCGGGGAATTTCCCTCACATGCTGAAGCACGAAAGCCCCTATCTTTTATGACATTTATAAAGAAAGTGATTTGAAATAAGAACAGCCAAAACGACTTCCTTTCTTTAGAGTGATCCCCGTCAAGCGAAACCCCATTTCTGAGGTTGGATCCTGCTTGCCAGCTTCAGAATATCAACTCCTGTGGTCAGCTTCTGATTCCGCGTTTCTAAAAAGAAGTGACCAAGGCTACGCCCGGCAAGTCAAACATCTTGCTTTTCACCCTGAAAGTTTCCTTCGAGAGGGCTATAGTTTCCTCGTTACATCCCGGTATTGATTTAATAGGCAGACATTTCTATCTAACACTTTCCCGGTATAATCTTATGGTAGACTCCAGGCGGATATAGCACCATTCATCTTCATTATTTAGCAAGGTTGGACCGCAAATTCAATAAATGAAACTCTACTGACCTCAATCTGAGATCAATCTCGGTCTTTCTGACCCGGCCCTCCAGTCCTTCGTCACCTTGAATTTTGGTGATTGAACTTAAATAATTTTAGGATGACGTTTCTAGATGCACATTGTTATGAGATCACATATAGAATTGACGAAAAGATCGATTACAAAAGAATCGTAAAAAGAACTCAATAATATTTCTGATGGAATATATTCAAGTGATAATGCGTTAATTCTTACATTATTTAACAACACGTCATAAGTGTTCAGTCTAATTCCATTAGAGGGAAGGGAACAATTATCGATAACTATTTCAATTACGAGTATTTATATTAAATTGTGCAGCATATAATAATAGATAAAGATTTTATTGAATCAAGCTTCCATCACTATGATTGAATTAGGTAGAATATATTTCCTTAAATGATCATTTCCGATAGATTGTAAATTTACTATTTTCTCGTCTTTGTCTATGTAACAATTTTAAATTTTGAGTTAAGAATTCTATTCTTTCAAAATCTTTTAGGGTAGAATCTTCCCGAACATTTATGGTGATTTATATTCTCACTCTATTACCTTGACATTATGAATGATCTCATGTAATTGTGTAAGTACATATTTATAGTATATATTAAATATAGAAGAATTGATCTTGGACTTGGGGCTTTGGCTTAGATCGGAACTTAAAATAAATATTTTTTATAAAGCTTAAAAATTTTCTCTATAAATAACAATGTTTTTACAGCCAAGAATAATATTTACAGAAAGAAGGGTTATATCATATATATATATCTGCAATGTGATACAAACTGTACAAAATAGGTCCAAATTAAAGTGTTGAAGAGACAAATAACTCAAGCTAGAGATAATGATATTTTATGTTCAGTCAATAATAATATTGTGATCATCACTTTTGAGAAATCTTTTCACAATATCCAGGAATGGTTGCAAAACGATGTTCCTCCATGCTTCGTCAACAACGTCTTTTCTATCTCCTTTGAAAACGTCAGTAGCAATAATATGATGCACCAACCACATTCTCAGTTATTAACCGTTGAATCTTGTCAAGTTGGTGACAAATTAATAAACGAGTATTAATATTAGCAATTGACGATTGAAGAAGCATCTTCTTTGATACATTATCTTAGTCTATATTTGTTTCTTCTCTTAAATATCTGTCCATTTTGGGGACACCCATGGACCGTCGGATTCCTTTGGTATAATCTACATCTGAAATGAAATCTGCCACACCTCATCTACTATCCCTGGATGCAACATAAATTTAAAGAAGAGTTTTATTTAGTGGAACATAGATTTTATAACCAAAAATATTATTAAGAAAATTATATAACAAAACTTTTTAGCTAGATGCATGATTATTTCTTGATTGATAGATAAAACAATTACAAAAATTACCTGCATTGCCATTTTATTAACCCTCATGTCAACTCTACGGTTCAAGACTGATTGCTCTGCATCAATCCAAATAAAGCAAGCATCATACTTATATTTGAACATGAACAAAGGGTCTTCCAAAAGTTTTTCAATATATGAATTTGACCCTCCAACAATAATTAAAACAAGTTGAGTCTTCAAAAAAATATCTATGTAGACAATAGTTTGCAAACAAAAATATGCAGATGTGAAGTCGGAATCTGACTTAATTTCACCTAAGAAAATGTGATCAAATTAACTTTCTCAGAATTGGAATAACTAATTTTTTAATAGTAAAGTATATTTTCTACTAGAATATACAATTACTACTATTAAATTATCTTGGTAGTCATTTGATATAAATATTGTTGGAAATAAATATATTTACCTAACAAATAGTGTCGTACACCTTGTTCAAGTCCCTTATATACTTGCATTTTGTCCAAGTTAATTATTTCTCCTCAAAAATGGGTGGCAAGGTCAACAGAGACGAGATTTTCCCGTTCCTGTTGCTCCCATTATGAACACCACTTTCTTCTTGTTGAACTTGTTGTTGTTGTTGATGAAAGTATTCATTTTAGCTACACATAAAATAAAATAAAATTGGAAATAAATATATTTACCTAACAAATAGTGTCGTACACCTTGTTCAAGTCCCTTATATACTTGCATTTTGTCCAAGTTAATTATTTCTCCTCAAAAATGGGTGGCAAGGTCAACAGAGAGACGAGATTTTCCCGTTCCTGTTGCTCCCATTATGAACACCACTGTAACGACTCATTTGGTTGTTTTGAGTACTAGAGCTTTTTATTGCATAAAAGACTCTTTCGTTACATTTTAAATGAGAATTTTGGACTATTCGTAACAATAATTATAAAATTAATGGGATAGTTTTAATTTTTTATTTAATTGGTGGTTAAAGAAAATAACATTAGAATTAGTAGTGGGTGACTTTTACCACTTTATTATTAGTCTTATATTAATTAGGGTTTACTAATTTTGAGTGGTTAATTAAAATAAAAAAGAGCCTTGCTGGTTGGGCACAAGCGGTATTGGAGAAAGTCGATTCAGGTAACCTAACTTACGCTTTCAATTTAGTTTACATATAATTATCGGTTGATAGCTATATAATTAAAGCTTGGTGAATAGATAAAAATTAGCAAACTAGTGGTGGGTTGAATAAAAGATTTGAATTGGGAAATATGTTTCTGTACGACATGGGTTATCACTTAGATATGTTAAATTATTATTTATTAGTTTGATTGATGATGGTAAAATAATTAAAGGCTAATGATTAGAGAGATGGATAAATTAAGGGAAATTGGAATAAGGTTTCTTTCTGCCTCTCTTCATCGATGATCAAATGATGCTCATGTAAGTGAGTAATGAGTTGGGGTTGTATTATTCGTGAAGTTACAACATTATGTTTCAATTGTTGATAAATTGGTATAGGTAATTAAATATTAGGTGTATCGAATTATTTAAATTCCATTATAGTTATGCTAATTGGAGGAATTAAGACTTACCCTTAAGGTTGAACTTCAGGAAATTGATTATAGAATTAGGTGAGTTTTTGGGTCTAGGCTAGACATAGAATACTATGAGTGTTTATAGACTCGTTAACTTAAAAATTATGCATATATACTTGATAGATTAGAAAGGTTCGGAGGCATTGAGGAAAGGAAAAGTAATGGAGAAGTAGCTTGCTTGACTTCGGTTCTTCAGTGGAGGTAGGTTATGGCTTATTCTATTTGATAGATAGACTCTTAATAGTGATTGATGATAGATAGACTCTTAATAGTGATTGATATATATTGAGTGATATTGTAAAGTTCTCTATGTACTTGATTGTGTGGTTGTGTGGTTTGTGATTGGTTTGAAATCTTGAGACCGTGAAATTTATAATCTCGAACATTCTCTATCGAAGTGATGCTTTGAATAAAGAAGGCTGAATGAAATATTGTTAATGCAGTGAAAAATGATAAATTAACGATATTATTGGATCGGGGTGTCCGTTACGACACGGTATTATTGGATCGGGGTGTCACGTTCCATCACGGTATCATTGGATCGGGGTGTCACATTCCGACACGGTATTATGGGATTGGGGTGTCACGTTCTAACACGGTAACATTAAAGAGGAAAACATATTGAATTAACTAAATATACTCAATCTCAAAGAACCCATTTCCCAAACGGGTGTGTGGTATGGAGGCATGAATCCTCGTGTGTGTGGTTGATATTGTGATTGATTACGTACTTGCTTCCGTTGTCAGTTGTTCATATGGATTGTTGTTTTCATCTGCTAAGTGCTATACTTGATTTTATACTATTACTTTATGAATATTAGTTACTATTTTGAGTTCGCCAATGATATCTACGCAGTACATGTTACCCTGTACTAAGCCCTAATTGTGTTTTTCTTTATTTTTATTTTGTGGATTACATCGAGTGTACCAAATACTTCGACTTACCCTCAGCTCTAGCCAATCTCCAGCATATTAGGTCCTAGGGGAAGCTATTCATTCAAGCTCGTGTTGGATTCTCTTGGTCATGGCTTGATGTCCTTAATTTTCGGACATAAACTTTTTTATTCATTTATTTTAGCGTCTTTAATAATCTTAGACTTAGTATTTGAAGATTAGATGTCCTTGATGTGACGACTTTCAGGTTTTGGGAATGACATATAGTAAACTTTAATGGATTCATGTTCTTACACTAATAAGATTTAAGCTTCCGTATTATGGTTAGTATTTTGTAAGTTGAATGTTAATTATAAGTTGGGTTGAATTCATTGGTTCTCCCACCTAGGAGGTTAAGTGTGGGTGTCACTCATGACTTGGTTTGGGTCGTGAGAAATTTTGTATCAGAACTTTAGGTTTGGTGATCTCATCACATAAGGATAAGTCTAGTAGAGTCTTGCGAAACGGTACAGAGACACCTTTACTTTTCTTCGATAGGCTATAGGACTCTAGGAAAACTCTTCTCTTTCTTCCTTTTGTACTATTACATGAATCCAATTGGTATCTAGGTGATACAAATTGGTATCTGAATTTCTTCACTCTATTTCGCATATGGTTAGTACTAGAGTAGTAGAAGTGGAAACACCAACGCGAGAAAGAGAGGATGTGTCATTTGAAATAGGCATATTTCTCCGATAGACCACATGGCCTGTAATGACTACTGACCAACATTATCTTTTTATTAAGTTCTTAAAGTTGAAAACCCCATTCTTCATGGCTATTGCATATGAAGATGTTTATGATTTCCTTGTGGATTGTCATGAGTTGTTTCATAAGATGAATATAATGGAGAGGTTTGGTGTTGAGTTGTGACATACTAGTTTCAGGAAGATGCCAAAATATGGTGGCGGTCTCATGTTGAGTGTGTGCCGACAGTTAAGGCACTATAATATGACTTGGACAACATTTTCTATCTTCTTCATGGAAAGGTATGTATCCCTGACTTTGAGAAATAGGAAGAGAGATGAGTTCCTGAATATAAAGAAACGGAAGATGTGTGCTGCAGCCTATGAGGTCAAATTTTGTACTTTATCTAGATATTTGACATGCAAGAAGTTTCGAAAGGGACAGCTAGAAAATAAACATCATTACTTTAGGAAATAAAGTTAATGAAGTTGTCATAACATGTATAGGTTGTGTACTGAATGGTGAAATTATGTTGCACCAATTAAGGTCAGAATCTCTACTACGATTTCATAGATTGAGTGTATAAAAAAATGGCATGAGACGAATACTACAACATTATCGATGCTTACTTGGTTAGATTTATGAAATGTGTTACTTTGTTATCGACTTTATCCGACGAAGAACGCAAATCACTTGGGCTAGAGAGAGAACAAATTTGATAATGTTTTGCACTTATTGAATGGGTAGAAGTGTGTGGGCTATTTGGGTATGATATTTTCCATAAGTATGATGTTTTCTAGTATGGATCTATCGAACTCTCATAATATGGTACTAGTGGTTTATGAAAATAGATATATCGATTTGCAAGTACGAATACTAACTACTTAAAGAGTTTTTAGTTGTACCACATTCCTGTATAAATAGATTTAACGTTGCATTCATATTTGAGAAACCAACTAGTTTGGTACTACGGAGGCTTGGGTTAAGCTTTATTTTTTACAAAAAATTTTAGTGGTGGATCTTTGCTACAGTATTAATACATTTAGGTTGTGAAGTGTATCTTGGGGATTCTAAGGGAGGACCGGTGATTTTACCTTAAACTCCAAAGGAGTAGATTGATATCGGAATGACAAGCTTAGGGATAAAGTAAGTCCAATGACCATACTTGGGTGAAAGCAATTGAAGATTTTAGTAAGAAAGTGTGTATAAAATTAGGTTAGTTCCTTGAATTTGATTGGTCTAACTTAGTTTGAGGTGTGATGTTGATGAAAAAGTTGACTTCATGGTGAAGGGAAGAGATAACTGAACATGATGGTAATAAGAGTTCGTGATGGTTTGTGATTGTGATGCAACTATATAATAAAGATTGTTGGTTAAATGAATTTTATATAGTAATAACGACTTGCGAGTATCTACGATTGTGATTTTTTTTACTATATAGTGAGTAACATGAATGTATGGAAAGTTTTAGGTGATGTTGGGACACCGCTCAAATAGAATTTAGAGTTAGAATCAAAATGAAAAATAAAATAAAATTAATGAGATGTAGTGTAGCCTTTAGAATGAGGTGAGAGTAGGAATATTTTCTCTCATTAAAAAGTCTAAAGATCTGTCTCTACAGGGATTGAGAATTGGGTTCGGAGACGCGTGGTTTCATCTGTTTTGCTCTGCTTATGATAATAGTGTCACATGTTCATCTGATTGGTTAAAAACTAGTGGACAAGACTTGACAATGAAGTGTACAGACGTCCAGCTCAAGTGTGATGATAAGCTTTTTTGTGATTTTGAGTTTGGTTATGAGTACAATTGGATTTTTAAGGAAGGATATGGTAAGATCGACGGAGAGGCGATCAATGATAAACTAAGATACTTGAATTCCTAAAAATCTTCTAGGTATGAGCTAATGTTGATAGATAAGAGGATTGAGTTAGACATTTAAATTTACAATTCAAATTTTGTTTTATTATACGGTCTACATTTATGGTGATATGTTTTGTCAAGATATGGATTGGTAATATAAGAAATGATTGATTGCATCCGTATTGAGCATGATAAAGAACTTCTGCATGTTTTGGACCATAAAATTTGTTACTTTTGATTCTGAAAGGTTCTAAGGAAGGGTTTCCCTAAGAGTTTTGATTTATAGTGTGAAGTAAAACGTCTTGGGTTGTTTGTAAAAGGATGATATTGGTAAGAGAGCTAGAGAAACAAGAGTCTGATATTTAAAGGATCGAGATATTCAGAATTTTGCACCATAAGAAGAATTTGAGAAAAGTGAAGGAATAAGACCTCCGTATAAACCCTTGGGGTGTAGTTGAAGGTTGTATTGATTTTTGCCTATCAGTTTAGATAGGACTGTAACATGTGAACTAGTTCGGTACAGACTTACTAGGAGTTATCATCAACTATTATAAAGATTGAGTTTTGATTTGGGTGACAAATAGTGAGATATGGAAAATTAGAGTTTTACGTGGGGTTAGATTGCTCAAGTTATGATAGATGACTTAAGAATGTTATGATGTGTTACATAGACATTTGATGGTGAATAGAAGTGATGAGCTTATAGTATACAAAATAATTTGAGTGACCAAGAATTTCCCTAAGTGTTGGCATGAGGTACATGATGGTTTAGAATGGTAGCTAAAGCATGGTATGTGGAAGTGGTGTGAAGTTGACTTTGAGTGTGATTTAATGGTTTTATGTCGATGGAAAGGTATTATGAAATTTGAAATTAGTGCTATTAGCCTTGTTTGGGACTCATAT